TGAACCGCATAATAATTGGACTTGTGTTTACCACGGTGGGGAAAATATGCGGATAGAGTGTGGATGCCGGAAATATGAAAGTGAAGGGATCCCGTGTTGCCACCTGTTTTATGTAATGAAGTGCGAGCACCTTACGGAAATTCCTCCAGCACTCATAATGAAGAGATGGACAAAGAGTGCCTAAACTGATACATGTATGGAATTTATCGGCAAAGGTAAAGACACTACCAACGAAGTTGTAGAAATGGCGAGGTATGGAAGTTTAAATGCTATGTCAAACAAAGTTTGTTTTTATGCATCGAAGAGTGCAGAGGGTTATGCCATGTTGATGAATGAGTTTAGTAGATGGGAGGGAATTTGTGAAGGCTTACGGCAAAAGGAAAAAGAGACAAGTCTAAAATTGGGTACTGCTGACCAATGTCCTACAAATATTGTGAAAGATCCAAATATTGTTAAGATAAAAGGCACTCAAGCAAGGCAAGGTGGAAAGCGCAAGCGTTGACAATGTCATTTATGTCACGGATATGGACATACAAAGCGTAATTGCTCTCAAAGAAACTTGCATCCAAGTAGAAATGCATGTGTCAATATCCCATCAGGTAGTGAAAGCTATTAGTATAGTTCTGAAAAAGGGCCGTCCCCGGACATTAGCTACAGCTATCCTAGTCAAATGGTTTCTCAATGCAGAGGCAACTATGTGGTCGATTTGTCTGGTTCTGATAGTTTTTCTACTGCAGACCCAACCAGTTCTACCCCGAACAATGACGATGGTTTCTCATTCGACAATGGTGAACCTAATTCCCTAGGTACTGGTTCAACCCAAAACAATTGTAGTTTTGGAACTTGGTTTACATGTAACAATTAACATTAAATGTAGATTTAGTGATGGACAATGTGCTTTCATATGACTGTCGTATTATTGTTTTATGTATGTATTGTTCAGAACAAAAGTATTTGCTTGGTTATCTTTGGCGTTGCGCTAGACATTAATTAGGTTTGCGTTTTTAAGGTATGTTTAGTTTGCCCACAGCCGGTTGGCATTTGCATTCCACACGTGCAATTGCATGACGGTGATGCAATGCAAGAGTGACTGTGCGCAAACCAATAATAAGGAAAAATGGATCATATTTTTTTTTTACGGGCATAATTTGACCTTTTTTTTTAACTATAAATTGAAGGGCAAAATGAACCGAAATACAGAGCATGTAAATAAATGGTAAGGGGCAATAAGCCGAACATATTATATTACAAAACGGCCAATGATCGAAATTACGTACTAATAGACATTGCCATTTAGCATAAATGACTTCCCAAAAGATCTCAAATTTCGAAAAACACAATGTGATTAATCCTAATTTCAATAATAGACATAGGGTCGTAATAAAGTAGTTGCTTGGTTTTCGTTGTCTTTGCGCTATACATTAAATAAGTTTGCGTTTTTCAGCTATGTTTAGTTTGCACACAGTCAATCTGCATTTCCATTTCACACATGCAATTGCATGACAGTGATGCAATGCAAGAATGACTGTGCGCAAACCCATAATAACCAAAAATTGATCATTTTTTTTTGGTACAAGCACAAGTAGACCTATTTCTGTAACTATAAATCGAAGGGCGAAATCAAAAGAAATACAGAGCATTCAAATAAATGCTAAGGGTTGGGCTATAAGCTGAACATATTCTATTACAAATCAACCAATTATCGAAATTACATACTAATACACATTGTCATGTAGCACAAATGACTTTCCAAAATATCCTCAATTTCGTAAACCAAAATGTGATTAACCCTAATACAAAAATAATACACAGAGGGTCCTAATAAAATTCGGAACTTCCTTTTCTTTGTCTTTGCACTATCCATTAATTAGGTTAGCGTTTTGAAGCTAGCTTTAGTTTGCACACACCTGGTCAGTATTTGCATTGTAAACATGCAATTGCACGACGTTGATGCAATGAGAGAGTGACTGTGTGCAAACCACTACAGAGGAAAAATGGATCAATTGAAGGCCGCAAAATGAACCGAAATATACTACATGAGAAACGGTAAGGGCCAATAAACTGAACATATTCTTTTACAAAACGAAGATACCATGATCCGAAAAATGTCACTGTATCCATAATTTACATGGTTTTCTTTCTCTTTGGGGTACGTGAACGAAGACTTTTCTCACCTTTGCTTTTTTGGTCTGTGGAGTGTTGTTCTGCATCTGGATTACCCTTAGCTGCGGCCCCGTCCTCATCCGCATCCTCATCCTCATCCTCATCCCCGTCTTCGATCCAAACTTCCTCGTCATCTCCCTCTTCATCTTCATCTTCCTCTTCTTCTTCCTCTTCTTCTTCCTCCTCTTCCTCTTCTTCTTCCTCTTCCTCATCTTCTTCATGCTCTTCTTGTAACACAAGTTTGGTCTTTCCTTTTCTACCTAAGTCATGTTTAAATTTTGTGCGAAACTCCTACATAAAGAGAAACATTGACATATATAAATAAACAATTTTGTTCACATTTGTTGTGCACACAAGTGATGCTGGTTTGCATTGCAGAATGTAACATATTATTTAAATTTTCAAAATTGAACATCTTATACATCGAACTTTACAATGGAGGTTGGAAGTAACAAACTTACATGTTCTACATCATCATCTACGACGTGTTGAACAAGACCCGAACTCGCAATAGTTGTTCCCGAGGTGTTCTTCAATTTCTCCTATTACAAGATAACATCGTTCATGTTCAATACCATGGTTTGTTATCTGATTATAACATTCGTGATGTTTGTTAATTTTATGAAATGAGTATGAAATGAAGTTGAACTAACTCACAATCTCTTGCCGTAGGTGCCTGATCTCTACGCTTGCTTCCGATGCAGTTGAAAATAGTACAGCATTCAACCCAGCAATTAGGTCCAAAAGCTCGGTTGCAACTTCAGCAGTGACCTACATTACGGCACATGTAATTACAACAATGACCACCGGAAGCCCTCATGTATTAATAAATTATGTAATAGAAGCTACTTACATGTGTGACACCATCAGGTAATGGTAGATCTGGGCTATCTTGCCCACGGGGTATCCGCACAAGTTTACTTTCATTTTTAGCGGCCCAGTATGGTATTCGCGCTGACCATGGCTGAGGAGAGATGTTTGCTACCCTTATCTTGGCCCCTTCCAGAGTTCGATGTTGTTCTTCCTGTGGAATTCAGGTATCATTTTAGAATTTTGAAAAATTATATGCATTTCATGCAGCAAGTATAATTACATAACACGCGTTCAGTGTAAAACGTACCACTTCACGTAAGTCCGCATAGTGGCGATACCGTATGTACTCATCTCTGTACTAGGCATAGTCGGATGAATTTGCAAGCTATTCGGAAGCTGGGTGGCTTCTAACTCATCAGTGAGTTTATAATCCGAAAGCATTGTCCTCGGTGGAATTTTCGGTACTTGAGGTTCTGTGGTGCCTAAACTTTGCATTGCGACTCGCTTTCCCAAAAACCAGGCTGAACCAGCTGGTCCTTCAAGTAGGATTCGTTTACGAGTTGCCGGCACGGTATTTTTTACTTCTTCCGGCAACTCGGATTCATTGGTCCCCCATGGGTTCCAATTTACTTGCAATACAAATTGCTTACATTTGCGAATCATAGATTTTTGTGGTCATAAAATATGGGTTCAAGAGTCAAGGCTTTATACCTGATCCTTTGTTAGATGTCGCATCATCACTCTAAAATGTTCCAAGTGATGTTGCAAGTCCCGCTTTGATTTTGCACCAACCCACCTCAATGTTCGAGGCCACGTGTTCACGGTCCCACTAGGCCTTGATAAAGTAAACGGTTTTAGGTACTCGCAAGCTCATACCTACACAAAAGAAGTATACAAATTAGTAATGTAAGCACAAAAGTCTGTTGCACTTTGGGGACATTCAATTCGATTACACTAACTTCCCATGCCCTCTAATACCCGCCCATGCTCGATGACCTGCTCCTGGAACAAGAATCCAGTGATCTATACAAGCAAGCCAAAGCCGCACCGCCCCAGTCGTATTTACCAATATCTGATACTATTTCCAAACAGGGGGCGTAGTGCATACTCACGTATTGGCTCTTATCATTTAGGAATGAGGAGCCAATCAAGCAGAGTATAACTGCCCTGGCAATTTGGTCTGCTTCTTTATCATCTTTCGGAATCTTGTTCCAATACGGGGTGCAAAGGCTTTCATATGGCACTCTCCTTTCCCCTGCCAGTAGGTTTGCGATTGGTTTCCCAAACAATTTCATCATCTTGTTCTTATTTTTGTACATCTCGAAGTCGTACTATAAACGCTTCCCACCAACATGCAATCCAGTGATTGCTGCGAAGTCCATTGGTGTCATCGTCATCTCTCCAACTTCATCGAAATGGAAGGTGTGGGTAGTGTCCCACCACCTCTCCTCTAAGGCCACAAGTAATGGCCTGTCCCCTTTCTTACCATGGCCCAATATTGACAAAAAGGGCACAAATCCAGCTTCTTTCACCTTTGCTTTCACCGTGTCGTGCATTCCTACGTTATACCATTCAGCACACTTGTCGTCGTTTCCACACCCTCTGATTTTTGTTAAAGTGATAAAACCCATCTCATTCACTGAGTCGTCTACTTGCCCAGTCGAACCTTGTACTTTCCCACTCGAACTTTCCAAGGCAGCACCATATGTTGCCTTTTCTGTAGGGTTCAATTTCCTCCACTTGTTAGCAATCTCTTCTTGTACCGGAAAAAGAAAATTCTCATTAAAAGAGCCTTTTTAATACAATAAATAATAAATTGACCCAATCAATAGCCATCTCTCACCTTACTGTCCAACTTTGCATTGGCCCCTTTCCCGATTATTTTTAATCAAAAAACCATCATAATATTAAGCAACCACATTTCCAATTTTTAGATGTACGTGTAACTTACATGAAATTAAAAAATGCATCTCGGCCAACTCTTGATTGTTGCACATTACTCTCGCCCTTGCGCTTTCCTTTTGTTGATCCCCTTTTTTGAGCTTCCATAACTTGTACAAATCAAGTACAAAACACTGTAATGCAATTGTCTCTAGTGCCGAGATTTTGAATACTAATCCAAAGCCTAATACACCCTAAACCCCGTAAACACCACAACATCAAACATTGCGTAATTATAAAAATACGGGGACCTGGATTTTCACACAGTTGCTTAGTAATTGCATATACTGATATGCAATTGCACGACACTACTTGCAAGTGCATCA